TTAAACCATTACCAAAGTGACCGTTATTCTCACAGCTTAACACTACCAAAGTGATCGTTATTCTCACAGTTTAACGCTACCAAAGTAGACCGTTATTCATGCAGTTTAACGCCACCAAAGTGACCGTTATTCATGCAGTTTAACACTACCAAAGTGACCGTTATTCTCACAGCTTAACACTACCAAAGTGATCGTTATTCTCACAGCTTAACACTACCAAAGTGACCGTTATTCTCACAGTTTAACGCCACCAAAGTGACCTTTATTGACACAGTTTTTACTTTTGTGTGTTGCAGCTCTGCTTGAAAATACTACTGACAGTAAATCAGCCGTGGGGAAGAGTAGAAATATCTACCATGCTTGCAAGGACGAAGGTAAGTGTGTATTATATGTCCCTTTAGTTAAGAGAAACATAAGATAAATAAGAAATACAGTATTCCTGAATACTGGTATGTAAACACGTGTTAACTATTGGTACATAACCAATGACCTGGTCGTTGGCTCATAACACACGTGTTGACTATTGGTATTTATCCCATGCCCTGATAACCGGTATAAAACACATACCCTACTTATTAGTATATGAAACATAACCAAGCTATTAGTATGCAACATATGCCCTGATTATTGATATATATATATAATACATGCCCTAGTTATTAGTATATAACCTATGTTACGTATGTTGGTATATAACACATGCGTTGCATGTTAGTATGTAACACATGACCTGAATGTTAGTATGTAACACATGTCCTGGATATTGGTATGCAACACATGCCTTACATGTTAGTATGTAACACATGTATTGAATGTTGGTATGTAACATATGTCCTGGATGTTGGTATGTAACAAATGTACTGGATGTTGGTGTATAACACATGTACTGGATATTGGTATGTAACACATGTCCTGAATTTTAGTATGTAACACATGCCCTGCATATTAGTATGTAAGACGTCTTGTATGTTGATATGTAACACACATCCTGTATATTGGTGTGTAACATGTCCTGCAAGTTAGTATGTAACACGTCTTGTATGTTGATATGTAACACATGTCCTGCATGTTAGTATGTAACACGTCTTGTATGTTGATATGTAACACATGCCCTGCATGTTAGTATGTAACACGTCTTGTATGTTGATATGGAATAGACATCCTGTATATTGGTGTGTAACATGTCCTGTATGTTAGTATGCAACACGTTAGATAATTTCAACTGAATGGCCAATCTATCATCAGTACATACATTATTACAGTTTTGCCCTTAATTAACGCCCTCCGGGGCATTGTAAACTGCAAAGGGGCACTAAGTGATTTGTTGATTTCAATGATAATATGTGTGTGTGTGTGTTTATTTTTCTTTCAAATCAAAATTACGGTAATAACAGTGGATTATATGTTGGATTACTATTGCTGTCACACAAAATGAGCTTTATAAAAATACCGGGGAACGATAATTAGGGCCAATACGGTATTTTGTGTTTTCTTTAAACAATGCAGTTCATCTTATTTTTGTGCAACTTGAGTTTAGAGATTTATGTCATTGAAATATTACTTATATGTCTTGAATTATTTCCCACTTGCTCACCGTTTGACCTTCTCAGTTTCCAGATAAGCCCACACAATCTCCATAATGTTCATATTGGAACACTGTACACCCCAAATCATGGTTGCTATTACTCCTTTGGCCTTTTTTTCCACACTAGGTATCGTTTCACCACATTTGCTGCATGTTTGGGATAATTTTCTTACTGGAAGATTAATTCCTGCCCAACAGGCCTTGTTCCTTAAAAAAATATATAATGGAGAATAATCTCATTGTACATGTCAGCAGTCAGGGTACCATCAATCTTGTGTAGATTTCCAACACAGTTGGCTGAAATGCAGTCTACAGTATTGTTTCTTCAGCATGCTTCACTGTAGATGTTGTATGTTGACCATAATATTGGCCTCTTTTTAATCAAACAAACTATCATTGATTGTTGCCAAAAAATAACTTAAATTTTGATTTCTATGTTTAGAGATTCCACCTCCGGCTTTACCAGTCTCATTTTTTGAAATTTGATGCTTATTTCAGGCTCTTGGTTTTGCCATTTCTCCCAATCAGTAGCGTTTGAGCTGCTAAACATCCACTGAGATCCCTTTATGTTAATATGTAACCTACTATTCAGGGAGTAACATTTACACCTTTACTTACTGCTAGATCACTGACAATATATATATTAGAATGTCAATATATATATATCATTTAAAGAGCATACCATTAGTTCCTTAACATCAGTTTTGAAGAGTTTAATTTTTCCACCTCGACTGCTTCTAATATCAACAGTTCAAGTTTCACGAACCCTCCTCAGAGTTTCCAAACAACTCTTACTGAAACATGAAATTTAGCGAAAGTTTGTCGCATGAAGTCAAAACGTTCGTTTCTACACCTTTGTCATGCGAATTTCAGTCCTGGATGCCATAAGTACATTCGCCATACTGGTGCTAAGAATAATATGACTGCCTGTACTTTTATACGTTTCATGCTGGCGTGGCACTATCGGATTGGTTGGATGACAGCCAGTTACAGTATATACAATGAACACGTGAATGTACCCTACTACTTTTCATTTTCATACAATATAGGTAGAGCAAACCCATAATATTTGTATTTTTATACGCACTGTAGTCACTGTTTCTATAATTATTTGCTCAAATATATATATGTGTTGTACTTATGTATGTGATTGAGTTTACCTAGTGTATTCAAATATTGTTTATTTCATTTTCAGCAAAGCGCGATGAATTGGGAATTGATCCTCTTATAAATCTGTTGGAAAAATTTGGAGGATGGCCGCTCAACGACTCAGAACAAGGAGAAATAGGATCTTACACATGGACTAAACATATTCCAGAGATTAGAAAACAGCTCAGTGTTAACATAATGATGTCGTTCTACGTGCATGCAAATCCGTATAACACTAAGGAACATATAATCTATGTAAGATGATTTAACTAGTTTGTTAACATTTGAATTAGATCATGACAGGATATGACAATGTTAGAGTTTTGTGATTAAAATATCATCTATGTAAGATGTTGTTACTAGTTTGTTATCATTTAGTTCATGGCAAGATGTGACAATGTTAGAGTTAGGTGAATAAAATATGATCTATGTAAGATGA